TTTGCCTGGATCTCAGTGGTCTACAAAGGGGGGAAAGAGAAGCACACCAAGACACACAGGTACGCCAGGACAGGGCAGCAGCGCACCACACAATCCACTGGACAGCTAGAAACGTCATACATTACTCATCCAAAACATCAGTGGCAGAGCCCAACAAACCACAGAAAAAGACCCCAAGGAAATGATAAAAAAAAAAAGAAAAGGGCTGCAGCAGCCTAACATGCGCACCGTGGCGCAGCACACACGCAATGAGACACGTAGAAGAATTATTAAAAGAAGGCTCTCTCAAGTGGGCAGCGCACAATCATGCGCCAAGCAAAGCCCATTACAACAATGAGAGAGGGGCGCCGTCCTCGTTGGATACAGAGCACAGGGAGTATCCTCCAAGGGGGATTAGGTGGCGCGTGGAAAAAAAACAAGAAAGAAAAAAAAAGGGCTGCAGCAACCAAGGGGGTTGGCCTGCAGGGGTGCACACACACACAGCGGAGAGAGCAGCACCACACAGATCATCTCCCAACAGCAACAGAAGCCCAACACAGAACGAGGTGCAGTAAAGGATGCCTCGTCAACGTGGGCGAATATGAGGGATGTGCCACGCAGCGCCAACAAGCTCCAACATTTCCACAGCTTCGGCCACGGCGTCGCCGGCATCACTTGATGCTGCGCCTGCCTCCTCAGCCGCGGTTGTAGCAGCATCCACAACAAGATTTGCGTCCTCAGCCGCCTTCTGAGCTGCCGATACTGCCTCGGCCACTTGCGGCACGGTCGTGCCGGTAGCGCCCGCATGGAGCTCCCCTTCCAGAACTTTGATCAGGTGATCCATCGCGGCTTTGGCGCTGTCCCCTGCCCGCAATGCGTTTTTGCTTGCCGTTGTGAAGCCAATCGATGCTTGCTTAGCTTCCGTCGAAACCAGTCCAAATATCGCCGCTGCCGTCTGTGCCTTTGGCATTGCCTGACTTGTGCCCTTCGCGGCCTTCTCAAACACCCGCTCCATCTCAGTAGCCGAATCACCCGACGCCTCGTCCGCGAGGGCCGTCGCACTCCTTGCAGCCTCCAGGGCCTCCTGGGCCATAATATTTGCGCTCCTAGCCGCCTTCTCCGCTCCTGTCGCCTTCAGTGCTGCTCTCAAGAGCGCCTCCTTTGCCGTGTTGGACAGCTCCATCGTCTCCCTGGCTTTGTCTGCAGCTGCAGTGGCTT